ATGTAGAAAGTATATACCGCTATAAAACCCGTCAAACAATCAGCTGAGAAGTGAACTAGGGTCATCTATAAAGACTAGAGTCTTCAACATACAATCAGTACTAGTTGATATCTACACCTGAACAGACATCAAATATTCAGTTGCAGATCATCTCCCTAAATATTTTGTTCATACTAATGCAAACAGGGGAAACTTGAAAAACACCTCTGCGCCGCAGACTGCCACTACTGAAAATACGGCGGAAAACATCAAGATCTGAAGTCGAATTTACACTAGAAATTCATACACATAATTTAAACAAGACATATAGCTGGTAGCAGTATAAATAGTTCACAATTTCATATAGATCGATGAAATGAGTTCCAAAACAGCCTCTGGATATGGATTTTTCAGTTTCCCATAATATAAGAACCACATCGACGACCAGCGGTAGGGCTGGACACGAGCCGAGCCGAGCCGAGTTCAAACCGAGCCTGCCTTTGGCTCGCCTAAAGCGAGCCGAGCTCGGCTTGGCTCGTTCGTTGAACGAGCCTGTTTCTGGAGGCTCAGCTCGTTTTGCCCCTGGCTCGGTCCAGCCCGAGCAGCTCATGTGGCACATGCCTGGGCAGTGAGTGCTTGCGTGTGTCGGGGTGGCAGACGCTTGGCTAGCGACGAACGGCGGTGGCCGACACGGTGATGAAAGGGTTCAGTGGCGGACACTTGGCTAGCGACGTAGCCGATGTCGGTGCCGAGAGCGCCGTCCAGTGTCGGGCGCGGCGAGGACGATGACCGCACATGACATAGCGAGGACGACGATGGCTACACTCTACACAATCAAGCAGAAGCATTCAGCCATCCATCCATCCATCGCGTGCGTACGCACTCGCAGCCATGCAGCCGGGAGCATGTATGTCGTATGCCGTCCATGCGCCCGTGCAGGGGAGCGCGTGAGTGCCGAGCGTTTGCGCGCCCAGGTACTGCTAGGGACGAGAAGAAAGAAAGAGTACCTGCTCGTCACGCTGGGCAAGAAACCAGGGGAGGCGCGTCCGCCGGCGTTCTGTGTGGTGAGGAAAGGCTGCGTCGCCATCGGTCCAGTTTTTGCGGCACGGCGAAGTGAGGGATGAGGCGGCGCCAAACAGAGGAAGGGAGGGGCTCGTGACCTAACGCGAGGATGGCCGATGGGAACTGGGCTGGGCCTCGAGCGAGTCACCGAGCTGGACCGGGCGAAACTCGGCTCGGCTCGGTTGGGAATCAGGCCTTTATTCACAACTGGGCTCGCTCGTTTATTTTATCGGGCCGAGCTGCAACGGGCCGAGCTGGAGCGAGCTTCGGGCCAAGCCGAAAAGCTCGCTCGGACGTCCAGTCCTAACCAGCGGTGAATCCAGCCTCATAAATATGTGGGGTCATCGTTAATTTTCTGAATTTTTTCTTCACAATGAACAGTAATTGTACAGTATTTTTAAGCTATTTTGCTGAAAAGCTGTGGGGTCGGCCGACCCCACAGCTAACACATAGCTCCGCCACTGTCAACGAGTACAACAACAAAGAAACACTGACAAGGAGCAAACACAAACAACAAAGACTCTAATTAAACTGATCAAAATCTGTATGATTCCTGGAACTCAACCTGCTGGGTAATTAATAGTGGTACCGAATGCACGGCGAGGTGTCTGAGGGGGGTGACCATGGCAGGCAGCGCTGGATCTAAAATTCTGTACACTACTGCCTGCCGACAGAAGCAATCATAGAATACAATTGGAAATTCTGTACACTACTGAAGATACTATTTCAGCACCTAAATGGATCTCAAATTCTCAAGTTGAATTTACGCCATTTAATCTTAAACATAATTGAAGTACTATAGGAGGCAGAAAAATGAGAGGCATATTTAGAAATAAAACAAATATGTATAGGCAGGTAGCGGTATAATGAGATCACAGTTTCATACATGAAATGAGTTCAAAAACAGTCTTCAAAGCAAGTACAAACCACAAGCTGGACATGGAACTTTCAGTTTCCCATCTAACCTTATTACAACAACAACTACTACTGCTGCTACTACTATTTCAATTCCTGAGTTTTTATTATTTCCATGTTAACATCACTCTTTCAAAAAAAAAACCCAACAGTACGGCCACTGCTCGCAACACCAAAGCTCGAACCAAAAGCAAGTGTACCAGCTGGCAAACCCTACGCTCGGTTCTGTGCGATCTGAATTTCCAAAATACAACGGGTCAACGGCGCAGAAGCTTTTGCGAGATCGCAAAGTTCCTGAACTGTCACAGTGTCACTGATACCATAACAGTTCTAGCATAGCGTCCTCTTGTATTCAAGGAAGTGAGGTTTCTTCAGTGGCACAAATGGAAAACATTCCTGACAAGTGAAGAAGGATCATCTATAAAGATACTAAGGGCATCTCCAGCCGCGCCCCCAACAGGCCCCCCCAGGCCACTTTTTCGGCGCCGGCGCCGAAAAAACGGCCCAGTCGCGCCCCCAGGACGCCGAAAATCGCCGGTTCGGACCTTTTTTCCGCCCAGCGGTCACAGGTCGAACCCGGCACGCTGGGGAGCAGTTGGGGGCTCCGGCGCTAGGGAAAAGCACGCCTGGCCCACACCAACAGCGGAAAAGTCAAGGTTTTCTTCCCCCGACTCGCCTCGCACCCCCCGCGCCCTCGGCCACCACTAGCTATATCCCGGCGATGGCCGCCGCCCTACTCCGCTAGATAGCCATTCCCCGCCGAAAAATAGCAGCGCTTCGCCGCGGCAGCCCCTTCCACAGCAGCTGGGCGTTTTCGGCCGCCGTTTTCGGCCGCGGAGGCGCGGTTTAACGGCGGGTACACGCCCACCGAGCGCAAGGTGTTCGGCGTTTTGCCTGCCTCGGCGATGGACTCGGATGAGGAGGAAGAGCTCGCCGCGCTGCTGGAGGAGGAAGCCGCGGCCGACGTCCAGGAAGAAGAGCATCTCATGGTGCTCGCCGCCCTTGGCCAGCTGCTGGCGAGCAATGAAAAGCCGTGGCGAGGTGGCTTGGCGCCGGGGCGGATGAAAGCAAAGAACCGGCATCGTCTCCAAGGCTACTGCATGCTCTACTCCGACTACTTCGCCGATGCTCCACTTCATGGTGAGAGAACATTTCGACGCCGTTATCGGATGAGCCGAAAGCTCTTCCTCAGGATTGTGAATTCCATCCGGGAGTTCGACAACTACTTCAAGTGCAAGATGGATTGCACTGGCGCTCTTGGATTCACCTCCATCCAGAAATGCACGACAGCGATGAGGATGCTTGCATATGGAGCTCCCAGTGATTCACTCGACGACTATGGGCGCATGGCCGAGTCCACCAGCATAGAGTGTTTCTACAAGTTCTGTCGGGCAGTGGTGGCAGTGTTTGGGCCACAATACTTGAGAACACCCAATGCGGAAGACACTGCTCGGATCCTAGCCCAGAATGCAGCAAGAGGATTTCCTGGGATGCTTGGAAGCATCGACTGCATTCATTGAAAATGGAAGAATTGCCCATTTGGTTGGCAGGGGATGTACAAAGGTGCCAAAGGCGGTTGCAGTGTGGTGCTTGAGGCGGTAGCCACACAGGACCTTTGGATTTGGCACTCCTTTGGTATGCCAGGAACTCACAATGACATCAACATGCTGCAGTGCTCTCCTGTTTTTGCCAAGCTCGTTGAGGGCCATTCTCCTCCGGTGAACTTCGAGATCAATGGGCACCAATACAACAAGGGGTACTACCTAGCAGATGGCATCTATCCGAGATGGTCGACATTTGTGAAGACGATCTCAAACCCTGCGGCAGGAGGCAAGAACGCCTGGTTTGCGAAAGTTTAGGAGGCTTGCAGGAAGGATGTCGAGCGGGCATTTGGTGTGCTCCAATCTCGATTCGCTGTTGTTCGGTACCCCGCTCAGACCTGGTCCAAAGATCAAATGTGGGAGATTATGACTTGCTGCGTCATCTTGCACAACATGATCATCGAGAGCGAGCAAGAAGACCCAGTGTTTGACACTGAACCATACTACAGGCAGGGTCCTCTAGCCGAAGTTGATCACCAGCTACCGGCAACTTGGACTGCCTATCTCAGTATGCGTCAGGAGATCCGAGACCCACAGGTGCATCATCAACTGCAGAAAGATCTGATTGAGCACCTATGGAGGCTCAAGAGGGACGCCGTGTGATGAAATACGAGTTTTTATTTGTTGAACTATATAATTTGTATTGAACTATTTGTTGTTGTACTATTTTGTTGAAGTATTTGATTTTTCTATGATGAAATATGTGATAAGAAATAATTGTGTTGATAATTGAACGCCGAGACACGGCGAAACCATGCCGAATATGAGCCTATTCTCACCCATATGGGCCCTTTATTCGCCGAAATTGGGCTGCAAAGTGGGCCAATTTCAGCGCCTGGGGGCGAGGACTGGGCGCAAAACCGCCCCCAGCGCCGATTGTATCGCCGGCTCGGCCCCAGGGGGCGATTTTTATGCGTCCTGGGGGGGCCAACGGCTGGAGATGCCCTAAAGTCTTCAACATATCAGTAGTTCAGTACTAGTTGATCCCTACACCTGAACACACATGAAATATTCAGTTGCAGTCTTACAGATCTCTGTAAAACAGGGGAGACCCTCTCTACCACTGACTGATGCACTCATACGATACAATCAGAAATTTAGTGCCCTGCTTGAAATACTGCGGAAAATACCACAGCAGAAAATCATACACATAATTGAAACAACATAGATAGGTAGCTGGTAGCCCAGTAGCAGTCTAAATAGTTGACAATTTCATATAGATGAAATGAGTTCGAAAACAGCCTGCAAATTAACTACAAAAACAACAAATACAACAAATACAGACCAGGAGCACACAACAAACTGGATATGCAGTTTCCCATAGAACCACAACAAAGAAACACTGACAAGGAGCAAACACAAACAACAGACACGTACTCTAATAAACTGATCGAAATCTCAATGGTGCCTCAAACTGAACCTGGTGCTGGGTAGCTGGATTAATTAATGGTGGTACCAAATGCACGACGAGGTGTCTGAGGGTGGTGCCGATGGCAGGCAGCGCTGGATCTCACCGGGGATTGAGTAACCCCACCCGCCGGCATCAGCACAAGGATACTGGTTCTGCTGGTGCGGACCACCAGGGTAGACATCGTCGAGGAAGTAGATGTAGCCCGGGTTGCCGGCGTGTCCGGTGTCAAAGGCCTTGAAGCAGGCCCGGCCGACGAAGAGCAGCTGCCGGGTCATCTTGTAGACGCGCCAGGAAGCCGGCCGGCCCTCCTGTGCCTTCTGTAGCCTGAAGACTTGGGACCGGGACGTGCGGCCTGTCGCCGGCGAGATGAATCTCCTCACCATCAGCAGATCGGCGCCAGAGGCGGATGGCAGGAGGTAGCGGGACACGATCTCGCCGTGTGCCATGTCCGTCCGGGGAGCACCGATCCCGTAGGCAAGATGTAGAATGGTTTGCCTAGATGTCGAAAGTTCGGCCTTGTAGCAGAAGAGGTCGTCATCCGAGTCGACGGCCCAGAACCATCCGTCGTGGTAAGTCAGGTCTTGGGCGTTCGGCCGGGCCGTCATCTTTGCCGGCAGCGACGTCCAGCACTCCATGCCCGGCCGGCAGAAGGCCATGGTTGTCCTGGTGGACGTTATGGCAGCGACCACGCAGGCACCAGAAGACGGGGCGGCAGAGATGGCGGCTGCGCGGATCATCATGGGGCACCTGATGTCGCCGGAGTTGATGGGGATGCAGACGCGATCCGGGAGGGCGACGCGCTCGCCCGTGCCGAGGTTGAGCAGGGCGTGGCCGCGCCCGTGCGGGGATGCGACCACGAACCAGCCGCCTGGAGCCGAGCCGCAGAAACGCTCTGCGCGGCCCTCGGCGGAGAGGGACGGGCGCGGATCGGGGAAGCGACCGAAGATCCGGTAGCTCTCCGTCAGGGTGGTGGACGGTCCGACGAGGCATGGCAGCGGGGACGGGTTCTGGAGCGCGACCAGGCGCCAGTGTTTGTTGACGGCCGACGCCCTCACGCGGTCGGCGATGCACGTTAGCAGGAGGATGATACGGCGGAGAAGGTCTTCATGGAGGCTGGACCATGGTCGCGGCGCCGCCATGGCAGGACCGCGATTCAAAAGGGTAGGATGTTTGGACAATTGGACTGGAAACGAGGCTGGTGAGAGTGAAGGGGATCGATCCCTAGCTTCGGTTTTAAGGTTACGCCTGCGAGTCTGCGCTAACCCAAGTGAGAACTGTGCCCTAGCAGTTTTGTCCCTGGAAATCCTTTTAATTGTACACAAGTTTTTTCTGTGCCTATTTTCCAATGCTCGAGCCAGAAGCGCACCGCAAAAATTTATTTCGGTCATTTAGGGGTAGGCCCCAAGCTAGGCCTAGTTCTCTTTTTGCGTGACCACATACATCTTCCTTATGCCCTTGATATACAGATTTTCACCACTACAAACTCCGTGTTGTAATTTCTACTTATTCTAGGAAAAAATTTCTGGCAAATTCGAAGGCACTGAAACTAGAGAAGAATACTGGAAATACTCCACTATAGATCCTGGTGAGTTAAAATTTCATCATATTATGTTTTATATCAACTCCTAACCTCACATGACGCAACACACAATTATTGTTGATGGACATTTAAAGCTGCAACACCTAGCTAGTAGATTTGGTGTTCGATCATGAAAGCATCAAAATTAATCAGAACAAAGGTGGAGATATGGAGGAACATAAGCTTACATGTTTGCTTGGTATGTTTCTTTTTAGAGAATTTGGTCCACCATTTTAATAGCATGGGACGGGAGGGGGAAAATTAGAAAATAAATGTTTTGGATGGAACATCTTGACCCTCATCATAACGTATGTGGTAAATCGCTAATCAAATGCACTAAGAAAACAAGGCAATAGTTAACGTAGGGTCCTGGCCCTATGCTTTCCCTGGCAACTCATGTTTTGTCTGGTGACGACTTATTTTTGGCGGTGGTTTGATGATCTTTTGCCACATGTTTCCCTCGCCCCTTACTCCAAGTACATCTTCGCAACTCCCACCCACCCCGCTTCGACTCAAGGTTCAAGGTCATTTTTCCGAGTCACCCTGAACAACCTAATTCCCTTAAAACTCTAGAATATGTTTTCATATAGAGCCCTTCCACTCCATAAGCATTTCATGTTTCCATGGACGGCGTGTAGTCATACCCCACACATCCCTAGTCGTCCCGGTCTCCGTGTTTGTCCCAGATCGGTTTGTGATAGAGGGCATTGAGAAGATGTTGAACAAGATGGCCTTGTCAGTGGCTAAGAATAAGCATATTGATGCCGGGAGGACGGACACAGTTGTGCGGCTGGAGAATGGCACGCAAATGTTGGGAAAGTTAATGTCTGATAAGTCAGTGTTAGTGGTAATCATGGCGTACACCTTGGAAAAAAGAGTTAATTGCAAAAAACCACCACATTTGGGGCAAGGTTTGCAGAAAACCACCTAGTCCCTAATTTTGTGCAAAAATCACCGCGTTTCTGGTAAACTTTTTGCAAAATGCACTATCACGTGATTTAGCCCACTTAATCATTTTCTGATAGGTGGGACCAGACTCTAAGGAGCTGACTTGGCAAAAAATTGCACACACACCCCTAAATCTAAAAAACAAAAGCAATCAGATCCCTGTGCACAACCGCAAGGAGCAAATTGACCGAGCACGCCGGGATGCCGCGCCCCGGCGCTGTCACACGCGGGAGGAGTGGCCTGACTTTGACTTACCGAGCCCGCCGGGATGCTGCGCCCTTGCCGGAGCTATCACGCGCAGGAGGAGGGAGGCCGCTTCGCCGGGTGCTCAAGTGAGGGAGGCCGTCCCTTACTGCGCTCGTGGGCGGGGATGGAGGATGGAAGGAGGGACGGCTGAGGTTGGGATGCCGGCCACTGGCGCCGGCCGCGATCACGCGCTGTTGTGACCTGCTCCTCTCCACTGATGGGCGGGCGGCGCCATGGCCACGGGTGCCCGGCACCACTAGTATAAAAGGGGGCTTTGGTCCAGGCCGGGTAAGCCCATTAGTCCCGGTTCAGTCCAGAACTGGGACCAATGGGTGCATTTATCCCGGTTCGTGCGGCTAAGGCATTAGTCCCGGTTCACCTGGGCCCTTTAGTCCCGGTTCGTGCCACGAACCGGGACTAAAGGGTGCGATGCCCATTAGTCCCGGTTGGTGGCACCAACCGGTACTAAAGGTTAGACCTTTAGTCCCGGTTGGTGCCACCAACCGGGACTAATGGGCTTTGAGGCATTAGTACCGGTTCATGGCACGAACCGATA